TGCATCATCTGCCGAAACAGATTCACAGTGTTGCTGTCTGTCCAGGCCCCCTGGTTTACAGGCAACTCTTAGGGCAAAATAGGCGTAGTTGAAGACTGTGGAGGCCTTCTTGAAGTACTTGGTCTGCGCTGCTTGTAGCACTGCCGGAGATTGACTCCTAGAGGCAAAAGACCTCAGGCGCCAGCTACGAGTATCCCGCTTTTTATACAACAACACAACAAGCAAAGCCACTTAAAAGCTCTTCAAGGGTCTAACAAACACAAGCAAGTGAACCTTCGCACAAGAATAACGAGAAAGCCACGAAATCGCTTCAAACCATCTTCTAGGACCTTGAAGCTGGTCAAGTAGTTTCTCTTGGAACTTTCTTTCTTAAATCAATTAAAGCCTTCTTCAGAAATTCAGCCAGAGCATTGCGACCCTCTTTAAGCCTCCCTAAGTCCTTTTTTGCAAACCTCCCAAGCGGCTTCAAGCCCTTGACGTTTGAGTTGTCTGACATGTAAGAAGTGGCAGGGAGGCAATCAAACCGGAAAGCACCTCTGCGAGCTTTGTAGAGTGTTGGAGCTGCTTTGAAGTGACTCAAGCGTTGGTGCTCGGACGCTGTGGAGTGTTTCAAGTCCAGTGAGCTGTGAAGTGAAGCCTCAAGCCGTGCCCGGCTTGAGCGCGCCTGCTTTGGCGTTTGCTGTTTAGTGAGGCCCTGTGTCTCCCTGGAAGTCCCTCGGAAACTAACGTGGTAGCAGTCTTCGTTGCGACCTCAAAACAGGGCCAGCGATGCCAGGACCGAAATGTTGCTTTGCTTAGCTTTACATGGACGGGAACAGTCTGTGTGTTGCCTCTGGGTCGTCTCTTCCCCTACCAATGATAAGACATTTGTGCGCACCAAGTAAAATGAAGGTCGCTGTCCGCATGCTTCTGTTCTGCATAAGAATCCCGCGGGGTGCACGCAGAGCGTGCATCGAAGTGAAATTCGATAGCAGTCAATAATGGCGCCGTGTTTTGTTGCTTGACTGCGTCGGCCGAGTTGTGCAGCTTGTGGCATGAGCTTGAAGTATCTTCGCGTGCAGCCATTTGGTTATCGCTGCTCGAGTTCAGATAGTGCAGCAGGAGTTTCGTTTCACAGTCGGTGTGCTCCAGATTTTCTGTTCCCCTCCCTCCACTCCCTCAGAAAATTGTGGGGAAGCGGGGGAGTCGAGGTCTTCGTTGCGACCTTATAACAGGGCCAGCTATGCCAGGGCCCAAATGTTGCCTTGCTTAGCTTTACATGGACGGAAACAGTCTGTGTTGACTGGGTCGTCTCTTCCCCTACCAATGATAAGACCTCTGTGCGCACCAAGTAAAATGAAGGTCGCTGTCTGCATGCTTCTGTTCTACATAAGAATCCCTCTTAAAAAGACCGAATAGTATCACGTCCAGCAACAATGTTTGGAAGCACCTCGTGTCCTGATGAAAGCACAGTTTGCTCGCCTGACGACTCGCGGTGGTGCGAAAATTTGAAACCTATCTTCTGCGAATTCCAAGCAGGCCATTGAAAGTGTTAAGGGCCTTTCATCTGCTTGTTAGAGTTGGATTGGCGTGGCTCGGCCTTGATGGCAGCACTGTCCGGTCCAAGCTGAAAGCACGGCGGTTCTCGAAAGCAAGCTCGTTTTCTCCTTCTAGGGGTTTCAGAGTTTATGGTGAGGGTTGAGGTCTCAGAAGAAGGCCGACAAGCATGGTTCGGAGATAAGTAGAAACATGGGCGGCTGCTCTTCATGTCCGATCTGTCCTGCCGTTGCTGTGCCGATGTGGGTTGTAAAAGTGTCTGACGTGCTCAAGTTGGACGTGCTGTCTCTCAGCTTGACTAGAGCTGCCAACTCATTCGGATTAAATGGTGCTACCGGAGTTACTGTAACGAGAGTTGGTATAAGGGTCAGCACAAGCAGAAGCGCCAGCCGCCTGGGTAGACCATGCTTCATGTATGCAAAGACTTCCGTGTAACCCTTCGATAGGAGGAGCTGCATGTCACACCTTTGCTTTTCTGTGTCACCATAGTTTTGCTACCTTGTCACATGCTCTCTTGCATCAACATCCATGTTCATCTAGCTCTACACAGCATGCAGGCACATAAGTTTTTTTCAAATCCACTCGCGCCCGTTCGTCATTGAGTTTTTGAGAAACATCGCACTGTTTCAGAAAACACAGTGGCACACTTTGTTTGTTAATGAAATTTTTACTGCTAGCACACCTTGCTTCAACACCAAGCGCTAATTCTGCCCGCTTCAACCTGCGGCTGGGGGGTTCGCAGTCACCGATCTGCCTGCCAGGCAACTTCAGCCTGAGCAGCACCCATGAAACAGTGAGTCGGCGCATGCATGCTGTGTTGATGTGAGCCAGATGGACGAAGTAAGTGAAGAACGAAATCTTTAATCTCACGTCTCCCAAGACGTGTCGACATGGCGATTTGTTCTGAAAATTCTTCAGTGGCTTATTATTGCTATTATTATGATGTTTAAAAGGGATTGTTGATACAATTGAAACTGTTTGTCGTGCTGTTGCTGCTGCTGCTGCTGCAGCCTCTAATCCTGACGAGCACTGCGCTTCCATGACGATGGTTGTGGCAGCCGTGAGCTAGCCTTTTAGGGTTAAGGGTAGGGTTTAGGGCTGAGGCTAAATGTGAGCACTTGTGAGTCAGGGTTATAAATAACGTAATTATACTTACCCCAATCAAGGTAGTTAGACTTAAATGCATTGGCATCCACTGGCTTGCGACTTTGAGGCTGTCCCATGAGCAGTTGCTCTCCTTGGGCCTGTTGCATCAGAGAAGAAGCTCTTTCTACTGCATCTTCGTGTCCCACCAGTGGCTGGGCGCCTCGGATCTTCGCAAAACCTTGACGTTTCATGGTTTCTTGAGAGTAGCGCAGTCGGATTGCAACACGTTGTGGTCGAAGAGTTCTCACTACCACATCATGTTCTGCCCCAAATGATCGTATGACAGTAAGTGAGGAACGAGCTTCTTGGTCATAGGAGTAGTGATCATAATCAATCATTTGCAAGTGTTGTGCTGAGCGAAGTGGTAGGATGGATAGTGAAGCCAGCAGGCGTGGTTTTCATCACAGTATAACGACATACGTAGCGGTTCTATTTCGTTTTGTAGCCAAGGTGTGCTGCAGGAGTAGCATGAATAGAGTAGGAAGAACGAGTAGTACTTGCAACCTTTAGCTCCGAACCCAAAACCCCTAAACCCCCAAGCCTAAACGCACCAACAAAATCCCCGGCAGAGGCAAGGCCCATCCGGATCCTTCTGGCCAGCAGCTGAAGATTCTCCAGGGCGCCCTGAGAAACATCATTGCAGGCTCGGTTTGCAGTGGATCAGAAAATCCCATCAGAGAGATCCATCTTTCGATTTGGATTTGGGGTGTCTCTGAGTTGTGGTTTGGATGGGATGCGTAATGTTTGAGTTTGGACCTTGAGTGTCTCAGAACGCCCCGTTGTGAGTCCCACCTGTATGTGATTCAGCGGGTCTAAACACTTTCAAGTAGTTGCCGCGTCAACCTAGGAAGTGCGATGCAGCAAGCCCTATCACTAAACCGTAAACCCGACATATTGCCCGGTCCTTCGAAGCGAATCGCTATACTAGAGACCCGGGCTTTTGGTTTTCTTGATCTTCACTCCAGGTGAGGTTTTTGAATCTGCGTTGACGAGCCAGCATTATGGGAAACACGGAAGCTGTGCCAGATGCCCGCATGCTGGCAGGTAAGACTCAAGTGTCTGTGGACGCAGGCGCGACTTTTTTTATCTTTGCTTCCATGTCTGGATGCCATCGGACCAAAGACTAGCCGGCGCCACATCGTTCTTGAAAAAGATCGTCACTCGGGATGTATATTGCCGCATTGCCCCCAAGTACCTCGCAGACAAGGGGCCCCTACACCCTGAACCCTAAACCCCAAACCGAAACCACAGGCCCTCTAGGCATTCGGCTTCTTCCAGGAGCGATGTTCCTGGGAGAGTTTCAGAAGCTCTCGCGCGGAAGCCGAGCTCGACTCAAGGATGCGAATCTTGGTTTGCGTTTCGGGTTTAGGGTTTAGGGTTTAGGGTTTAGGGAGGAGGAAAACGTAGGTTACCATGCTGTCGGAGCCATGAAATGTTAGTTTACTGCCATGATGTGCCATTGCATAACAAGAACCCAGGTATGTGTGGCTGGATTACTTCAGCGTGCCACAGGAATGGCTGGACATCGCGAATGCTGATACAGAGACCCAGCACATTGCGAGGCAGATGCACTGGAACTCTACAATGGCGATCCGAACGACTCAGGATCTGCACATTCGGGCGATTCCCTTCTTTGTGCAGGCCTGTGATGTCTTTGTGGCCCTTGTGCCACCACTGCGGCATCATGATACTGGGCTTTGGTGCAACTATGTAAGCTGGTTCACACGCGGGTGGTGCCGCTGTGAGGTTTGGTGCAGGCTTTTGCTGGGCAGCGCCAAGATGCCTGTGGTGGTAACCTGTCATCTTTTGTCTATGGAAGAAGAGCAACTGTATCCTGAAACTTAAACAAGAAACCCCTAAACCTCTAGACCTTAAAACTGTCAACTCACCACCAGAAATCCTGCCTCGTTTCTCGCAGCTAGAGGTCGTTTGCTCGCCGGATCAAGCCGACTTTGTGCAGCCATGGCAGTGGGCGAACGGTCCACCAACACAAGGCCGGGTTCATCACCACCAGGGTTTAGTCCTTGTCAGGGTTTAGGGTGTAGGGTCTCCTTGTTTCAGAAGTTGTTGACTGAGAGAGTTTGTACCTTGAACGCGCCGAAACACACCTTACGTCTGAACCCCGATCCGCATTTTTCACCCCAACTCCTCAAGTTCTCAACCAGCAAGACTTCATATACCCTTAACCCTAAACCCTACACCCCAAACCCCAAAGCCCTAAACCCTAAACCGCAAAGCCCAAAGCCCTAAGCCAAAATCTTGATCTCCAGCTGCAACTCTTTAGAGCCAAGCTGCAATTTGTGAGCACGTAGGGCAAAGGCTCCAAACGGCGCATTGATTTATCATTACCAACATAGTGTGTGATTCTGGACTTGGCTCTTGCTGGCAGAGGTCGAAAGTAAGAAGGTTGCGTGCCGAAGGCAGTTGTGCATGATATTGTGGTAGTGTTTAGTATAGTATACTAGAATAAATCCAACGGTTCAATACATTCTAAACTAAACTACATCATATTGTACTATCCTCTGCTATGCCATACTCTACTTGATTATACTATATTGCACTATACTAGACGAGACTATGCTATGATATGCAATGCTATACTATACTATACTATACCATGCGATACTACTATACGAGACTAGACTAGTTGAGACTAGACTAGGCTAGACTAGACTATACTATATTCTAAACGCTGTAACCTATGAATAAATATGCAGATAGATATAAACACATCAATACACAAATGTCTGCCCTCACTGCCAGAGTAGAATGCCAGACGCAGGCCACTGGAACAGTGCATTGGCACAGGGTTGGTTCCTTGCCACGGTGTCCGAAATTGCGTTTAGAGTTTAGGGTTGCGGTACGCCCCGTGGGCACTGCTCTTTGTACGTTCTTGTCCTGGCAGTTTTCTTGCAGCAGATGGATCTATGATCTACAGGTTTTTGTGGGCGGAATGGACATTCGGTGGATAAATTCGACCAAAAGCTGAATTCCCTTCACCTTGAAACCCCTAAACGGTCAAAAGCTGAATGCCGAGTATTTCAGAGTAGTTGGGGATCGTTCCGGCGAGAGGGGAAAACCAGAACGATAGTTGAGACAGCCCTTCCGACGCAACGCTTGAAGGCCAGATAAGCCTAAACCCCTAAACTCTAAACCCTTACACAACCTTAAACCCGAAGGCCAGTTCACCATCGAGACAGACAGTGCGGTCATTGCTCAGATCATGTAGCTCGGTCGCTCTTGGTACTGTTTTTTGGTTTCAACTTCCCTTCACGGCAGTTGTGCTTTTGTCCTGGGATGCTTGGTTTCCTATTCATGCCGCTGCTATATATATATATATATTGTTTATGTTTCATTTTCTACATGTCCTGCTGCTAATTCTGCTAGTCCTCCTCCTCCGCCCTCCGCCTCCTCCGCCTTCTCCGCCTCCTCTGCCTCCTGCGCTGCTCCTGCTCCCGCTCCTGCTACTGCTTCGGCTTCTGCTTTCCTGCTGCTACTGCTGCTTCTGTTGTGGCCTGTGCTGCGGCTCCGGTACGGCTTCTGGTGCAGATACTGCTACGCCGCCGCCGCTGCTGCTGCGACTCCCTTTTCGATACCATTACTGCTGCGGCTGCTAAACTACTACTACTACTACTACTACTACCACCACCAGCCACCCCCAGTACGAACTACTTGGTGCATAAACCCATCATCATCATCACCACCATCATCATAATTATCATCATCATCATCCTCATCTTCATCATCGCCATCATCTTCATCATCGTCATCATCATCATCATCATCATCGTCAACATCATCATCATCATCGTCATCATCTTCTTCATCATCATCATCACCCTCGTCATCATCATCACCATCATCATCATCCTCATCTTCATCATCGTCATCATCTTCATCGTCATCGTCGTCATCATCATCATCATCATCGTCACCATCTTCATCATTATCATCACCATCCTCGTCATCATCATCATCATCATCATCATCATCGTCATGATCATCATCCTCATCCTCATCCTCATCCGCATCCTCCTCGTCGTCATCATCATCATCATCATCACCACCACCATCCTCATCATCATCATCATCTTCTTCTTCATCATCACATCATCATCGTTGGTATTCACTACAATATCACGAAAGTATTGTAAATACTGAGTAAAGTGGATGGATTTTATAAAGTACGTCATCCCTCCCCCGGCCCCTCAACAGCGGTGGTTGGTATTGGACTACGACATCACGAAAGCGCTGTAAGTACCTAGTAAAATGGATGTGCGCTTAAACAGTGTTT